ACTGATCTTGTCAAAAGGTAATATTCTTTTTCATTTTTTTTACACCCGACTCTTCTGTTCATCACATATGGATTCTACACTTATTTTAACAATTATTTCTGGGTAAAGAATATCCATTAATATATTAGTTTCCGTTCCTAGTATAACTAAAAGCAGAATTTGACGCTACATTCTACAGAGAATAACTGAAAATTTAACTATTCTGTTAATCTATACATATATATATATATGAATTCTTTTCAATGTGTAAAGAATAAGCACTATTTTTACAGAGGTATGGCAAGTAATGTGTCGGGTGGAGAAGATTCAAAGTCGGACTTACAGCTGTTTTCAAACTTGTCTAGAATAGTTCAAACTCTCAAATCTATGGCCTTTTGGTTGGCTGTAGAACTCGGAAAATTAAACAGCTCCTGTAACTGTGAGGGAAAATTATGGGAAGAACTGCTCCAAGAAGTCTCATTTATTCCCGTTAGGGCAGCTACAGGAATCGAAAAAGACCCATATTCAGTCCATAACTTGACTAAACTATTCATAGAAAAACCATCTTCGGCTGCTACCATAGTGGATAAAATAAAAAAAGACCCGTCCTTGTCAAAGCTATTCGCTAAATCAATTCGAAAAAACCCATATATTATGGCAAAATTAGAAGAAAATGCAAGACAAAAATACCCCAGGTTGGAGCTTAAGGTGGAGGACTATCCCTATGCCGTTGATGGACTTGAGATATGGAGAGCAATCCAGATGTGGGTTGCAGATTTTTGTTGCATCTTTTATGAAGATGATAGTTCTGTAGAGTCTGATGAAGAGATCCAAGCATGGTGGAAAGAAATAAGAGAGGTTGGCCATGGTGATAAGGAATGGGGGTCCCAGATGATCAAAGGTCGATCTGATTTGATACAAACTCTAACAACTCTCATCTGGATTGCATCTGCTTTTCATGCTGCTATCAACTTTGGCCAATATGCTTATGCCGGTTACCCTCCGAACCGTCCAACCCTTTGTCGAAAACCCATCCCTAAAGAAGGGACGGAAGAGTATAAAACCCTCGAAGAGGCTCCTGAAAAGTATTACCTAGAGACTTTGCCTGACAAATTTCAGATGGCTCTTACTGTGGCTCTAATGGAGGTTTTGTCACGACATGCATCCGATCAAGTTTACTTGGGTCAGAGGTCGTCGCCAAAGTGGACTGACAGCCAACTAGCACTCGCAGCGTTTGCAGAGTTCCAACAAAGGCTTGGCGACATCCAGGAAAAAATCTCAGAGAGGAATAAAAATATCCAACTTGCCAACAGATTTGGACCTGCTGGAATGACTTACACACTCTTGTATCCAGATACATTCAACCATGCATCCAAAGCTTACATATCAGGAAAAGGGATCCCCAGTAGCATCTCCATTTAATTACTTGCAGACTTCTGTATCCTGATGTTCCAAGTCATGTATCTCAAGGATACATCTCAAGAAAAGGAATCCCCAATAGCATCTCCATCTAGCTTAGCTCACATGTTGATTTACAGCTTTTCCTCTTGTCAAAGAAATAATTAATTTTCTTTTTTTTTTTAGGAATGTCTAATTTTTGAAACAGAAGAAAATCAAGGACTGGAAGACAGAGAGAGATTGCCAAGACCTGCTGACAGTTTTGAGTCGAATTTTTACTTATTTGCCTGTATTCTCGTTTTATTCATTTACTGTTGTTATTAATTAGCTTATAACTGCTGAGTTTTGATAGTTAGAATATCTAGATGGTTTTCTCGATTAATTGAACTGTTACTCATTTGATTTTCTCCATTTGTATTCCGGGGAAGCATTTAACAGATGGAAGCTGATCATTGAGGAAAGTGTACAAACAATGATTCTGTAGAATGCAAGATTATTGATGAATTTCTGAAAGAATAAAGACCTTGAGTCTGTCAATTTTTCCCCAACTCCTTTCCCTAATTTCCTAATTAATACTCTCTGTTTTCTTATATTAATTCCTATTGTTCAGATCCATGTCTCAGGTTCCTGACAGAGATCTCTCCATGAAGACCTTGAGAGATTCTTCTTCAGAAAATTGTTTGACCTCTTTATAATCTCTTTTTTTTTTTCTTTTGCCTAAGTCCACACTCTGGATCAAGAAGGCCTTTCTCATTAACATGAGTATAAAGCACATGCAGATACCATATAACACACCTACATTTCTTTTTTGAAGTTTT